AAAGAAAAAGAAAACGCCACTCCTTCCGGCCTCAGGACCCTATCCATCCCCACATCGGAGCTCTGGTGTCTCTGGGGTCTCCCAGAGCACCCACCTTGGGCCTGACCTGGAGAAGGGTCTAGCGCTGCAGAGACAAAAGCAGGGGTGGAGGGTGGAAGAGGAGGCTCCTGAAAACTCACTGTAGAGCTGGCCCTGGAAGCCCCCAAAAGGGATCTCTTTACCCCTTGGTGCCACCTCTGTGAAGCATTAGGGGCTGAATGCTAAGGAAGAGGTCTAGGATGTCAAGGATAAGTGGAAGGGAGGCCATGGAAACCAGGAGTGCCTCCCTGAGAAGGCAGCTGCCTCCAGTTTGGAATTGATGATGGAGAGCCTGATATATCCCAGGTTTTGCATAAATTAAAAAAAAAAAAATCACTGCTTTATTTTCACAGTGGATTTTAAGGTTTCTCTTATGGATGCAGTATAATAATTCACAATAGTTTTTACATTGAATAACCAAGCTGAGTATATCTTATTGGAGAAAAGACGGAACATGTTCATGTTCACTATTTTTATTTTTGGTTCTACATCAATCTTACATTTCTTGCTGGTCCTGAATTCTTGCAATCATTTACCTTTGTCTAGTCACAATTAAAATGCAGTAAAGGAAGAGAACCCCAGAGGCCACATGAACTGATGGAATAAAAATCTGCCCCACCACAGAATCCCAAGACTGATGCAAAGAATTTCTCCTCATGAAAGTTGCTTTCTGCTTTGTGCTCCTGCCTTGTGGTATTGATTAGTGTACAAGACTCTCCTGAATTTGAATATACAGCAAGAAGTTCTTGATCTCTTGGTGCATCTAGCAAGATGAATGCCAGTGAGAACCAACATTTTCCAGATGATCTGATATCAAAAGTAGATCAAGATTCCAAAATGCAGGTCTTGATTTCTGAAACTAACTTGCAACAGGATAAAGTGTACATATCAACCAGCATAGGCTAGGTTATGGTGCAATAACACAAACTCCCACATCTTAGTAGCTTTTTTAAAATAAAAAAATTTTTAAAAAATTTTTTAGACACAGAGAGCATGAGTCGGGGTGGAACAGAGAGAGAGGGAGACACAGAATCCAAAGCAGGCTTCACCCTGTCAGCACAGAGCCCGACGCGGGGCTTGAACCCACAAACTGTGAGGTCATGACCTGAGCCAATGTCGGATGGTCAAATGACTGAACCATCCAGGTGCCCCAACATCTTAGTAGCTTTAAACATCAAAGGTTCACTTTCTATTTTCAATACCTGTCCTTTGTGGGTTAGCAGGATGGCTCTTCCCATCTGTCACTCAGGTTTTAGGTTGGCAAAAAAGCCACCATCTTGAAGGTTGTCAGTTGCTAAGCCCAAGGGGAAAATGCTCAGGAAGGTTTCACCTGGGCAGTTAACTGCCCAGAAATGAACCACACCACTTCTACTCGCTATGCCACCGGTTGGCCATAACTAGCTGAATGACTCTTCTCAACCACAAGAGGGCCAGGAAGTGCTGGAAGGGGAGAGAACTGGACTTAGGTGGTAAATAGCACTAGCACACACCACCATGGTTTGAGGTTGGAGGATAACAGCGTGAATGTCGATAGAGGGACAGGGACTTGAGGGGGACGGCTGCTGACTCTGCCGGACTGGCAATGTGCACTAACACTCCAAACCTCCACGGGCATCTGAAACCTCAAACGGCTGCAATCATTTGTGATCAGCTTTCTCAACAAGCAGGGCTTATTCACAGCAAAGTTCCAAGGTCAGAAAGCCCAAGACTGAGCACTGATCTCACAAATTTGTACCATTCACTACCCTGATGACCTCTTTGAGCTTGTGTGCGGGGAGCGGGGCTGGGGGTGGTGGTGTGCAGATTTCAGAGTTACAGGGACCAAGTACTTCACCCATGTTGAATTCCTGAGATTCAGCACTGTTAGTGGAGATGGGTACCATTACTGCCATCTTCCCCTGGTCACCGATGACCTAACCTCACCCAGGAACAACCTCTTCCTTTGCTCTAAAAGGGGATGTTTTAGAGCCACCTGGGTGCCTCAGTTGGTTAAGCGTCTGACTTAGGCTCCGGTCATGATCTCACGGTTCGTGAGTTCGAGCCCTGAGTCGGGCACTGTGCTGACAGCCTGGAGCCTGGAGCCTGCTTCAGATTCAGTTTCTCCCCCTCTCTTTCTGCCCTTCCCCCACTCATGTTCTGTCTCTGTCTCT